ACTAAATTCCCTACACTTTCTTTGTCCTGGAAAAAGAAATTCCAACTTAGGATTCCAAACATTTGACACAGGCACATGAAAAAAAACTGGGCATATTTGGTGTACCTGAATATCCAAGGTTGTAAAACTCACAAGACTGAAGTTTTCAATAACTTCACAAAGTTCCTTTGTGAGCTTTCTGCAAATATAATTATGAAAAATACTTCTGAGAATAATAACAAATGTCTATCATAAGGATGAATTGGAGAACAGATGAAGTAATCAACCAGAAAGAGTTAATAACCATGATGTATACCAACAAAACCAATGTTTTAAATCCTGCATAGTGGCAAGCCCCCAAAAAGCTAGTGAGAAAGCATCTAGAAGTATAGCACTATTATATATATATATATATATATATACATATCATAACAAAACAATTTCCATCTGATCCCCATCCACAACATTTTACTTCACCCTAAACATCAACCATAGAATTTGATCATCCACCCACATAGGCATATTTCAACATCTGGACAGATTAGATAATAGCACTATAAACAGTTCAAGTGAGGCAAATTAACAACTGATCAAATCACTCTACATTTTTTTTCTTTTTTTTATAAACAAAATTGCTGCACATTTGTTGTTATAATAGCTACAACCGATGGTGCACCCTCACGAGAAATCATAAAATCCAACTTTATGTGTGTGAATATTCATTTCATATTTTAGACTAGCATCTCCCCATCGAGGAGGAAGCTGTTGACAGCACTAAAAGTTACAATCAATGTTATCTTTATTCCTTAGTCTGATGGGTATAAAGAACCTATTAAAAACAATGCAACTTCGCAACAATTCAATATGGCATTAATGACCAGGGTAGACAAGATAAATAGCAAAATACAATGTGGAATTCACATCTTAAGAAAGTAAAACAGTTAAAAAGTATTAACAGAAGTACAAAACATTAAAATACTCTTAGAATCAAAAGCATGGTTAGCAGGCAGGAATCACCATATAGAACATCACACCTGTACTTAGCAGAGCGAGGATCCTGATCAAGATGGTATTGTAAATATTTCAAATCTTGCACGTCTGTATAGAAATCAAGGTTAAATGCTGCAACAATCCAATCATAAAGTCAGCATAAAAGTCTGTCACTCTAACCAGCATAAACTAAAATACATCTAACCCCTGACATCTAAAAATAAGTAATTACCATACCTAGCCTTCCATAGCTCTCAATTAAATCAATTTTTGACAAGACATTTATGTGAGGGAGCTCCAGATGTAGCATTGTGGACAAGGATAAAAGCAATGCACTAATATACTTCCCAGGGTCACTGCAAAGATGGGCATCAATCAAATGCATCGCAGTTAACTGCATATAATGAAAATATTCATGAGTTTTTAAAATAACATGGTTTGACATCAGCAAGATGTAAAGAACAGAACTATACCCTTAGGTTCAATTTCTTTATGAGTTTCAAGATGACATTCTTGGCATTTGAATGAAGAAAAAATAGTTCCACTTGGCCAGGAAAATCAAAGAGTAGGTAGTGATCTGTAATGTTAATACAATTGTCAGGTTACTAGTTTGTACTTTATATAACTAATATAAAGATAATTTGGAACTTATAGTTTGATTATTTAGCCTGTACATCTACAAATTATGGCATAATAATGCACTGACCTTTCAAAAGAGGTTCCAGTTTTGCTTGCAACCAGTCAATATTTTTCTCTAGATAATCCATACAATACACAAGACCTGCTTGTACAATACAGGAGAAGCTTGAGAGTATGTACACGTTAAGGCACAGATACCTTATAAAAGCTGGTGTAGCACATTCATGGCCCCTTTTACAACCATTGATTTGCATACAGTGTAATTTGTTATATTTCTAGTCATACACATTGAAATCTAGAAAACCATCACCCCATGCCTACACTTTCAGCAGCCCAGTACCACTGTACTATATGTGAACAGTGAAGTTAAAACACAAAATTCATAAAATAAATAAAAACTTTTTTAAAAAAAAAAAAAAAAAAGGAACAGCTTACCCCCATTTGGACCAAGCGAATGTTCCACCATTACATCACTTAGTTTCACAAGATCCTCAATGTTCACAGCACATTCATAGCTATATTATTTGTTAGGGGAAATCATACCAGTTGAACTATACAAATAAAACGTTAAAGTTTTGAAAACGAGTGTCTAAAAGAAGTAGAGGGAAGGATACGGTAATGAATCATTAGCAGGATCCAAATTGATAACAGCAACCTTCCTACATTTCCAAAAACAACATATGTAAGGCAATTACAATACCCAAATTAGTAGAAAACCTACAATTGACAGAATAAAAACATATTCTATTTTATCTCCCTTTAGAGAGTGAAGCTCACCTTCCAATTAGACTGAGAAACTGAGACATGCCATTGCAATAAGTTGTTTTGCCAGAGCCAGGAGGACCAACTACTACTTGCCCAAACACCATTTTCCTTCCTTCCTTTGCGTACTGTTTCCCTAC